CTCTGACATTCTGGGATGCCTTTCTCTCTTTGCTTTTGATGTCTTGTGGTTCACTTTGGAATGTTCTAGAAATGGATATATTTTCACTTATTCTATTTGGCACTCTGAGAACACTTGTGTCTTTAATTGTGGAGAGTCTTCAGCCATGATCTCTTCCAATAGTCCTTCTCTAAATTCCCTTTATTCCCCTTTTTCTGAAACCCCACTACACATTTCACAGTGCTGAGCACATCTCAACAGCTTCACAAACTGCTCTGTCTTCACTGCTTCTGCGTGTACCACCCTGCTTTGCGTTCTCTGTGAATTCCTCAGTGCTAGCTCCCATTTTACTCATTCTCCCTTCAACTCTGTCCAATGTGGAGTGCATGTTTATAGCTAAAGTTCTCATTCCCAGTATGCTCAATATTTATCATCCTTCAATTGTTCCTGTTTGATTCCTGCATTTTCTACATGCTACTCTCTTTATTTTAAACTCTGTTCAGACTGTTACATCATTTGCATCTCTTCTGGAGTGAATTCACATCCGAATTTGAGTTACATATCCTTTTATACGCTATTAATGCATCTACCTTCTCCTCTTCCTCCTTCTTTTTCTTTCAACCATGTCATGACTATGTATTAAAGCATCGTATCGGCACCATCTTGACCAAGTCCCATGCCTCATTCTAACCAACCTCTCTCCTAATTCTAACCTTATCTCCAAACCAGACACTTTGTAAAGCCTTTCATGACCCCACTCACCTGAAGCCGACCACCTCTACCTCCTCTGGCTCGCTGCACCTTCTTTTGCTCTCATTTAGCATTTACCAAACAAGGGTTTCTCTGAGACCAAGAGGGTGCCACACCCTCTGTTAGGCACCACTGTACATATATGAGCAGGACAAGGTCTCTTCCTCGAGGAACCAAGGGTCTGGTCATCAAGATGATGAACAAAGAAACCGTTGCTATGCAGCATAAGTGCTGCAGTCCAGGGATGCCCGAGGTCCAGGCAGTCTATACCGCACAGGGGCGGGGGCAGGGACAAGGAGCTGAGCCCCGTAGAGAGCAGAGGCTTGAGCTGGGTCTTACTGAGCAGAGCTGAGGGCGCTCCTGGCTTAGAGAACAGCTTGCACAGCGGCATTGAAATGGAAAGGAAAAAGGACCCTTTCAAAAACACCAAGACGCCACACCCACTACACGTGAAGAAGGCGAGTGGGAAAGGATGGCGTTAGGGCTGGAGAGGGAGCATGCAGGGCCTCGGGCAGCTTTGGGGACCACCCCATGTTCCCCTAGGGCCTGTGAAGCCCTTGCAGGTTGAAGCAGGGGGTTGGCAGGACAGGGTTTCCACTGGAAAGGACCAGAAGCAATGGAAGGGACCAGAGTAAAAGTGGGGTGGCCGGTTAGGAGACCACTGCAGAAGTCCAGGCAAGAGATGGCAGCAGCCTGCCTGAGCTTGGAGGTTCCCAGGGTGGAGGGAAGTGCGAGTGGCAAAAGTGAGATAGAGTTGACAGGTACATATTTATGGCCGAGATAAAGCAAGGCCTTTTAAAGCCTTTGTAGGGCCCAACAAGCATCTCCTTAGGCAAGGGGAGAGAGACAGCAGGCAAGTTAGCCATCGGTTCCAGGTTGTCCGTCAGCATCTTAGGGACTGTGACACTGAGCCCTGATTACTTTCCTACCACTGCCCCACCCAGTTGTGCATTCTGAATATGTCTTAAAGTTGTGTAAATTAAAGTTATTTTATTTCCATGTTTTAAGAACAAACACCTTGAAAAAAACGAAGACCTGTTTCAATTCAGCACAGAAACTGATTTCTCTCTCTCTCTCTCTCTCTCTCTCTCTCTCTCTCTCTCTCTCTCTCTCTCTCGATGCTTTTCAAAAATAAGGGGCTTGCTGGGCGAGTGCAGCTGCTCTCATCTCTTCACGCCACCCCGGGTGAGTGCTGCAGTGTGGGGGTGGGAGCTCACCTGGAGGCGAGAGGCAGGCCAAATCCAGCCCTCTGCACACCTGGCCCCAGCGCAAGCAAGCACCCCCAAAACTTTCGCAATTGCATCTGCTCTTCTGCCTGATACACAGCGGATGTCGTTGTGGTTACACTGAAAATCCACCACGTTCTGTGAAAAATATCATTGGGGTCACAAAGCCTCCTTGGTGGGTTTGACATGCTGCCTTGGCATCCCCCCCCCCCCACATCCCTCCGTTGCTCTGTACAAAGGGGGCTGCCTCTCCCAGGGCTCATGCTCTGCTTAGCCACAGGCTGGAAGGCCTCCAAGTCTCGTTTCCTGGAGATTGAGAGGGGACTACTCTATTTTCATGCATTGCACCCCAAATCTGACCATCATCGTACCCAAGGGCATCGTTTCCAAGGTCCAAATATCTGCAGGTGGACCCTGGCTCCCCTCCATGCTTCCTCCCCTGGAGGAGGAATACTTCCATAGCTGTCTGTCCTCTTCACCATCCCCCCAGTTGCATCCTTTGGCCAGCAGGGCCATCTGACACCCTTGCGGTGGGAACAGAGAAGAGGCAAAATGGCAAGCTGCGCCCTACAGAGTTGCTCAGTGGTTGCAGGAGTGGGCAAACTTTTTGACTCGAGGGCCACAATGGGTTCTTAAATTGGACCGGAGGGCCGGAACAAAAGCATGGATGGAGTGTTTGTGTGAACTAATATAAATTCAAAGTAAACATCATTACATAAAAGGGTACGGTCTTTTTTTTCAATAGTTTTATTCATTTCAAACAGGCCGGATCCGGCCTGCGGGCTGTAGTTTGCCCACGGCTGGGTTAGAGCATTGGCCCTCGGTTGGCGGGCTTGATTCCGGTCAAGGGCACCTACCTCGGTTGCAGGCTTAATTTTCTATTTGAAACTGTTTTTAAAGTGTCTTTTAATTTACAAGAATCACATATTCTTGAAAAACTTCAGATAATACAAAAAAGAATAGAAAAATATCATTGGGGTATTTCTGGCCCGGCTTGGTTGTGTGAGGGAGGCAACCAATCGGTGTGTCTCTCTCACATCAATGTTTCTCTCTCTTTGTCTCTCCCCCTCCCTTCCACTCTCTCTAAAAATCATGGGGAAAATGTATCCTCCGGTGAGGATTAACAAAAAATTAGATAAACAAATAAAAACGGCAAGCTGCTATCTAAAATGAGGATTGCCACATCCCTGGCCTGTCTGGACTTAGCTGTTACGTTCACTTACGTGAATTAAGGCCCAGCCCTGTGTCTATACACCCAGGGACACACACACACACACACACACACACACACACACACACACACATCCGTATGCCAGGGGATCCATTTCGGTGTACCCTTTCATAACCATAATTATAAAGGGTTTCCTTCCCAACCTCTCTTATCTTTAATGTGTAAATATTACATGTACCAGTGCAAGTCCTCAAGGATACAGATACATTATATCTACTACAGCCTTGCTAGTAATTACAAAAATTGAGAAACTGCTTAAATGAAAATGCACCCACTTAGAAGAATGGGGTAACTCTACATAAGCTTACATGAAAATCTTTCCTTCTACTGTTGGATAAAAAAGGTGAGTTGCATATATATATGGTACAACTGCATGTATCTCAAACAATATCTAAATATCTGTCTATGAACAGATAATATCTGAGGGACACACTCAAAAGTAACAGTGATTTTCTCTTGAGAATGGATGACTATGAGGAAAGTTGAGACAGAGCTTTCCCTCTATTCTTTTTTGTATTATCTGAAGTTTTTCAAGAATATGTGATTCTTGTAAGTTAAAAGACACGTTAAAAACAGTTTCAAATAGAAAATGTAAAAGGCTCCATGTTTTAGTAAGCATCTTGATGCTTTGAGAAGGGGAAGGGGAGCATGGAAATCAAAGTCATTTTTTTTTTTTAAAGTCCATTCGACACTTGTTAGGATTCCACAAAGGGAGTACCGTTCATAAACACAGCTCAGCCCAAGCTGAGATCTGGGACATGGTCCCCACCAGACAGAACTCACAGGTCGGGCAGACACATAGAACAGATAATGCCAGGTGGCTTGGCTCCAGAATTAAGCAAAGTCTGAAGTGCCCCCAATATAGGGTTCGAAGTGGGCAGGTCTGGAAGCCACAAAGAACTGGGAGGAGGGCACCCCCTGGGTCTGGAAGGTTTCAGTACCGCAATGGACAAAGGGAAAGGGGCCACGTGTGCCAGGGCAGAGAGGGAAAACTGCCTGCATTCACCCGGCTACACCCATATCTCTCCCAGCACCCAGGACCAGGTATACAGAGAAATGGGGTCCAGGTCTCACAGCCCGGGAGCTGGCCCCAGGGCTGACGCAGAAAGTCTTCCAAGCATAGGGAACAGCAAAGGCAAGAGGAGTTCAGACAATCTCAAGGCCTGTGAGAGAGAACGCATTGGGGGGTGGGGGGCAGGGAAGAACTGGGCAGAGGCTGGGGGAAGCCAGCACTCAAAGCCTCTGAGCTGGGCCAGGGTTAAGCTTTCATCCGGTCAGTCCTGCAGGTCACAGGAGGTGCAGGAGTGACACTATCAGATCCTGCTATCAGATTCATGAGACTAATGTTCACAACTGGAGGACAGGCCAGGAGAGAGCCAGGGTGTGGTCCACGGGGAACCGCCTGCCCCATGGTCCCTCCTGGGCGAACACCTGGCTCCCCTGACCCAGTGCCGAGAAGTGGGCAAGCCATTAACCCGCTTCCCTCTCAGCCCCCGATGCCCTTCATGCAGACCAAGCCCCAAGGTGACCGCGCTAGAAACACTGAGAGAGGGCAAACGAAGGGGACTCTCTGATTTCTGCTCGCTCCCGCCCTGGGTTTTTGAAGCCTCTAACCTCGCATCACTCTCCCACCCCCACAGAAGTGCCATTTCCGAGGGCCGTGTCCCAGCCCTTTCCTTCAGCCTCAACCCTGCGGTTCTCAGCTGCCCCAGCCCCCGCCAGGCTGCCCCGACGGCTCCTACCCAAGGGCCCCAGCCCCCTCGCTGGGCTGGAAGGTGACAACCGCAAAAAGCGGGGCGACGGGTGACATCACATCCTCCGAAGGTGGAATCGGTCCGAAGAGAGCAACTTCTCCCCTCGGCGTCCCACCCCGTCTCTTCGCTCGCATCTGAGCCGGGAGCGGAGCCGCGCCGCGGGAGCGCGCCATGACCTCGCCGGGGGCCGGGTGGCTCCTGCCACTGGGCCTGCTGCTCCGTGAGTTCGCGCCCCTCGGGGGTGGCAGCGGGCGGGGGTCGGGGGGCAGGAAGACGCGGGAGGCGCTGGGCTCCGGGCTCAGCCTCTCCGTCCGCATCCCCGCAGACGCCGCCGGGGCCCTGGGGGCCAGCGAGTTCCGGATGACGCCGCGGGAGACGACGGCGGCCCTGGGCCAGCGGGTGGAGCTGCACTGCGAGGTGCTGCTGTCCACGTCGGGCTCGGGCTGCTCCTGGCTGTTCCTGGAGCCCGGCGCCGCCCGCAGCCCCACCTTCCTCACGTTCATCTCCAAGGTCCGCGGCAAGGCCGTCCCGGACTCCAGCCGGTTCTCGGGCGCGAAGGTGGGGAACGACCGCTACAGCCTCACCCTGAACAGCTTCCGCAAGGAGAACGAAGGCTACTATTTCTGCTCGGTCCTGAGCAACTCGATCATGTACTTCAGCCCCTTCGTGCCCGTCTTCCTGCCAGGTCCGGGCGCCGCTCGGGGTGGGGGTGGGCACTCGCCTCCGAACCCGTTTTTCCCAGGGACGCGCCCCGCTTTCGAGCCTCTTAGCGCCCCTGGGGAGCTCATTAGATCCTGTACCCATTTCACAGACCGGGAAACTGAGGCTGACGGGCAGCCGGGTAGGGACTGAAGATAGCTTTCTGGGTCCGGCCGGTCTGGGTTCGAGTTCCGGTGCCCGTGTGGGCCTGGGCACGGGACTTAAGTTCTCTGAGTCTCCGTTTCCTCGTCAGTGGAGCGTGGGTACCCACCCGCGCCCACGAGGCAGCGCCCCCCGGGCGGGGACGAGCCCCGGAGAGAGGCGGATGGAGGGGAGCGAGCTCCCGCGACCCAGCTGGGGGCGCCGGGGGCACCTTCGCGGAACCCGGGGAGCAGCAGGGGCCGCCGCAGGGCCGGCACCGGGACGCGAGGGTTCCTGGCAAAGCCCCCGCCCGGCCCCAGCTCCGCTCTGTCGCTCCCGCAGCCAAGCCCACCACCACGCCCGCGCCGCGACCCCCCACGCGGCCGCCGCCCACCAACGCGTCGCGGCTAGTGTCCCCGCGCCCGGAGGCCTGCCGGCCGGCAGCAGACCCCACAGGTGAGGCGGCGCGGGGTCCCGGGGCGGGGCAGGGACGGTCCTGACCACCGAGGGAGGACGGAGACGAGCCCGGGCGGCAGGGGTAGGGAGGGGGGGACCCCGGCCCGCTCCTAAACGTTGGCGTCCTCGGTGTGGCCAGTGGACACCAGGGAGCTGCACTTCGCCTGCGTCATCTACATCTGGGCGCCGCTGGCGGGGACCTGCGCGGTCCTCCTCCTGTCGCTGATCGTCACTGTCATCTGCAGCTACAGTGAGTCCGGGGCTGGGGGGGGGGGTCCTCGGGGAGCCGTCCGCTCCTCTACCGCCCGCTGCGCAGCCTGCTCCCGGCGATCCTTGGCTGGGAGGTGACCCTGTGCTGGGAGGTGACCCTGTGCTGGGAGGCGACCCTGTGCTGGGAGGTGACCCTTTGCTGGGAGGCGACCCTGTGCTGGGAGGCGACCCTTTGCTGGGAGGCGACCCTGTGCTGGGAGGTGACCCTGTGCTGGGAGGTGACCCTGTGCTGGGAGGTGACCCTTTGCTGGGAGGTGACCCTGTGCTGGGAGGTGACCCTTTGCTGGGAGGCGACCCTGTGCTGGGAGGCGACCCTGTGCTGGGAGGTGAGCCTTTGCTGGGAGGTGACCCTTTGCTAGGAGGTGACCCTGTGCTGGGAGGCGACCCTGTGCTGGGAGGTGACCCTTTGCTGGGAGGTGACCCTGTGCTGGGAGGCGACCCTGTGCTGGGAGGTGACCCTGTGCTGGGAGGCGACCCTGTGCTGGGAGGTGACCCTGTGCTGGGAGGCGACCCTTTGCTGGGAGCGACCCTTTGCTGGGAGGTGACCCTTGGCTGGGAGCGACCCTTTGCTGGGAGGTGACCCTGTGCTGGGAGGTGACCTTGTGCTGGGAGGTGACCCTTTGCTGGGAGGCGACCCTTGGCTGGGAGGTGACCCTGTGCTGGGAGGCGACCCTGTGCTGGGAGGCGACCCTGTGCTGGGAGGTGACCCTGTGCTGGGAGGCGACCCTTTACTGGGAGGCGACCCTTTGCTGGGAGGTGACCCTTGGCTGGGAACGACCCTTTGCTGGGAGGTGACCCTGGCTGGGAGGTGACCCTGGCTTGGAGGTGACTCTGGCTGGGAGTGGGATGGAGATGTCTGGGACTCTGAGCTGCACCGCAGGGCCAGTCACAGCCAGTTTCTCCCAGGAGATCGGACTCGGGAAAGCCCCTCCCCTCCCGTCTTCCATTCCCCGGGAAGGTTCTGCTGGAACACAGATCCCTACCAATCTCCTAGCGGCCGCAGTGGGTGGTTCCCTCCGCGCAGCGGGTAGTGAATGCGCGGACCCGGTTTATCACAAACGACCGCGGGCGAGGCCGCCTCTGGGCCCTGGGACCCATGCCCTTGAGGCGGGGTCAAAACCACCAGGGATGGAGGTTCAACCTTGACCCTCTCCCCATGGGCCCCCTACCCGGCTTTGGTTCCCATGAAGGCAAACCACATCTGTATTTGCAATGTTGGTGCTGTTTTTGCGGGGGGGGGGGGGGGGGTGTAGTTTGCTTTCTTTTCATTGTTGAGAAGAAGGATGGAAAAGAAGCCCTCACCTGGGCTCCCAAGAGTTAGAAACCTAAGGAAACAGGAAAAGGGAAGAAGAAACCACACTTGGGGCCTATTGGGCGGCAGTCACTCCACCTCTTCTTTTTCCTTATCCAGGGAACCGAAGGCGCGTTTGCAAATGTCCCAGGTGAGTCTCCTAACGGTTGGGCCTGCTAACCCGCTGGGCAGCCCTGGGCTCAGGTTCTAGCTCCCCAGGCAGCAGACGATAGGAACCCGCCTGAGAGGCCTTAGCAGTGGAGTCCGGGGGACAGGGACTAGGCCTGGTGCCTGAGCAAATGGAGGAAACACAGGCCCAGGCTGGGCTGATGGGGAGCACCGTGGCTTCAGGAAATCTGCATCTTGTTTGGCCTAGCGCCAAAAAATAAAAAATCCGAATGGTCTCCCCCTTTACTCCAGCTCCTCAAAAAAACCTGAGGTCTTTTTATCTGGATGATTACTGCTGCGGTTTGGTGTTTTCATAAGAAAGCTTTACTTATTTTTTTTTTTTTCCCGACTTGCTCTATCTAGTTTCTTGAGCGCCCATCTTTTATCACCTGAACCAAATAAGTAAGGGCCTTGGTCCCTAATGTCCCTGTGCCATGCAGGGCCCGGACTGGCTGCCAAGAACGAGGGAAAGAAAGGGGGCACCAGAGGCAGCTCTCTGGCAGCTCAAGTGACTGCCCATCCAGGCTCAGCCCAGGGTCCTTCTGAAATGATCACAGAGAGGACAAGGCCTCCGTCTCCGCTCTCCTTCCCGGCCGAGGCCGAGGCAGCCCCGTGCTCATGTCTAACAAGCACCCATTCCAGCCCCGCGCTGCCATGCAGGTTACACTCAGGATCCCTCTTATCCTCACAGCAACCCCAGGTGATAGGTGGACCCCGTGGTCCCATCTCACAGACCACTGCTCAGAGGCCAGAAAACCTACCCAAGGGGGCAGAGACATGTACACTCAGATTATCGACAACAATAGCCACTGTCGGATGAAAGCCTCCAGTGTACCCAGGACTTGGCTTATAATTATATTGGGTGTCTTCCCGGAAATGTGCACACACTTCGAATAATTGTTAATTCCCATGTTTCTCCTCAGATTTAACCCACGGGGATTAGTAATTATTCAAAGTGTGTATACATTGGGGGGGGGGACACCCTGTATAGGTAGACATATTTAAATTTCAGGTTTCATAACAACCTTTAAAGCAGTCACTGTGGCCACTGTTTTGCGGTGGGGAAGCTGAGGCCCACCACGCAGTGACTTGTTCAAGGCCATCATGCCAGCAAGTAGCAGCGCCAGCTCCTTCCTGTGCTCTGGGGCTACGAAAGCAGGGGGTTAAGGAAAACCAACCACATTCACCAGTTCCTTTCAGTAGATGAAAGCATTTCAGACTTTAAACCTGGGGCGTGCACTTCACACTCCTTGATATTTCTCTGCAGGGATGCCAGTTCAAGATCTTACACATCCTTATTTCTAACCACGGAAGTGTAATGAATTTTCAATGCATATATTGTAGGTGATAAACTAAGAGGATAAAGACTTTAAAAACAGAGAATTTTAGCAAGCTCAATCCTTGGGGTTCAGTTGGGAGCTTTTGGAGGAGAATCATCCCTTTTCTCTTTCTGAAAATTCCCGTGTTGAAATGAGTAGCTGAGAATAAAACACAACGCTATGCAGATGAAAGGTAGCTGAGGAGTCCACACGTTCGCCTGAGCGAACACACGCGGTGATGACTGTGGGCAGAGTTTTGGAGCATGGCGTGTGCAGACAGGGGGCGCTAGCCCAGTACTGAATTCGCACACATTTCTAGTGTGGTTATCAAGGGGACTTTTTATTTTTTAAAAAATGCATTTGAAAACTTTATTGGGATTGCCAGCGTTGAAGGTTAGAGACACAGCCCAGGAGACAGCAGGCTAGAGGGGTTGAGTTGAGGCAAACACGTCCACTGTGCAACAGCTGGGCAGTGGCAGGTGACATGGGGTGTTCTGCACGTGGGGGTCTTCAGGTGATGGCGCAGGGAGGGACCCGAGAGGGGGTCCCGCTGAAGACTGTTGGGGGTCAAGGGGACTTTTAAATAAAGTAGCTCCACTCGGCTGATGGTGGTGGTTTGCTCACGTCCTCCCCTGTGACCCTGTCGGGGCCTGAGAATCAGGTCAACTGCTGATTTGATTATCAGCTTCCTTCTCTCACCTCCATGGGGATCTTTGACAGAGGTCCTGTGTTCAGATCCTGGCTCCACCACCTGCTAGTTCTGTGCCCTTGGGCACGCATGCTCTCTAGCCCTCATTACCAGTGCCTGCCCCTCAGTTTGCTGAGGGTTAAACAGACAAGGTGGCACAAGTCAGGCACTTGGTAGGTTGCTGAGGTCACTCCGCCAGTCCTGTGCTGTGTCCCAGGGACAGGTCCTCAGACCCTGACGAGGCTGGGAGGCCGGGGAGGGCGGGTGGACATGGATGCTGCTGCACTGCGCTCGCCGCAATGATGGTTGTCTCTCTTTCAGGCCCGTGGTCAGGCCCACAGGCAAGCCCAGCCCTTCAGAGAGATACGTCTAAGATGGTGAGGGGCCCTGCGCAACAGCCACTACAGGACTTCACACTGAGAACTCCCCTCACAAGGGGAGCAACAGCCCTTCCCTTAGGTTTTTTCCGCCTTCTTTATGTATTCATTCTCGTTATTACTTCTTTCGTTGGGTGGAGGGATGGGGGGTTACTTTTTTTTGTCTTTAATTGACACAAAACAAAACTGTAGTCTACCTACCATATGGGTTGCAATACTATCGCGCACACGTATTGGGGGGAAGGGCCGGCTGTGCTCTCAGCACCGGCTGTTAGAGCTGTGAGGGCCTCCCCATCACTTGGTCCAGACCTTCTCCCTGGCCATTTTGCAGAGGAGGTTGAGGTTCAGGGAGGAGGGAGGCTTGATCAGAGTCACGGCTGGGCTGGGCCCCTCCTCCACACCCTTCAGATCGTCCTTCTGGAGGCCTCTGGCTCAGCATGCGGTGTGTCTCCAACCGCAAGGGAGCAAGTCATTTCTTGAGAAACCCACCACTGCACGCAGGACCCTGAGAAGATCATGCAATAAGAGTACAACTGCCTTCCGCTGAGTGCTATAATGTGGCTGAAAAGTATGTGGGCTTTTACAGCCAAGTTGTAGAGACACTAGGGATTCCTCAAATGAAGTGGAAGAGGTGAGCCAAGTCCTGGAAAATGAATTAACTCGATCTCTAAAGAAAATCTCTGTGAAAGATTAAAAAAGAAAGAAAGAAAACCTCTGTGAAACCCTAAGTGGATGCAAAACTGTTCTCCCAGCTCTTCATTGCAGAGGGACCCATGAACGAGGAGCAGCCACCCCTTTACCGACGTGGTTTGAGCATCAGGAAAGTTGAATGGAGATCCTCTTGGATCTCTGAACTTCAGAGGCCGTATTTGAACATGCTCCTGGGGTCCCTGCTGACTTCTCGGTCTGTAAAGGCAGAATCGTTAGAGAGCTGGTCTCCCCTAGATCAGGTGAGGATGTGGCAGGACAGACTGCCCTGGTGAGAAGTGAGAAGGCTAATTGCCTAACCGTGGTCAGCAGACTGCGGTTCGCCAGCCACATGCGGCTCTTTGGCCCCTTGAGTGTGGCTCTTCCTAAGCCTTAGGAGTACCCTAATTAAGTTAATAACAATGTACCTACCCATATAGTTTAAGATTAAAAAATTTGGCTCTCAAAAGAAATTTCAATCATTGTACTGTTGATATTTGGCTCTGTTGACTAATGAGTTTGCTGACCACTGGTAAACTGTTGCATTCACACGCATTTCCTCTCTCACGGTGTTGCACAGAAATGTGCTCTCGTTGGAAGAAAAAACTTAAATAGACAGGGAAATAAGAATCATCCATAATTCTGTACCTTTGGTATAATCCACTGTTAATATTAGGGTATACTTCTTCTGATTATTTTCTATGCATATATGTAAAATATATATACTATGCTTTTTACAAAAAATGGGATTGCACTATGCTTTAATAAAAAAACATTTATGGCATACTTTTTAGTGGCAAAATATTCCATTTTTGGTTGTGCAAAATAATAGTCCATCTACTACTCGCCATCTAATTGTTTGCAATTTTTCACTACTGTGATTCTGCTAAAACTTTGTGTACATCTTTGTTTCTTTAAGATAAATGCCAAAAGTAAAATTACTGAGTCAGTCTACACTTTCACCTTGGACTCCCCATTTCACAGCAATTAAGACAAATTAGGCTTTGGCCGGGTGGCTCAGTTGGTTGGAGCATCTGAACCAAGGTGGTGGGTTCAATCCCTGGTTGGGGTGCATACGAGCAGCAATAGATGTCTCACTCTCTCTCTCTTCCTCTTCCTCTAAAGTCAATAGAAACATATCCTCGGGTGAGGATTTAAAAAAATGAGCCTCTCCTTCCATCGCCTTCTTTTCTTGTATTCTTCCTCGGTAACAGATGAGCTGCTACGCCTCTCATAATAATCACAAGATACTGTTGTCGTTGGGGTAAAATACACATACAGAAAAACACGCCAATCCTAAGTGCAGAGCCGGAGACACCATTAACTGAACACGCTCTGCCAGTACCTGGTCAAAGACAGGGCCTTCCTGCTCTCCAGCACTACCTCCACAACCTTCATTTGCAAAACCCAAAAACTTTTACAGAACAGAAAGCGAGGGGAAAACGTACCCCAAGTGTGGGAAAGCAGAAGTGAAAGCTGAAAAACTTCTGACAAGAAAAAGGTCTAAGATGTCCTAAATTAAGTTACAGCAGGCCAGAGACGGGAGGAAAACAAGAGTCATTCCCCCGTTGGTAGCTGTGGGCCAGCGAACAAAAGTCGGCGTGGGGTCCTGAGTGGATGTAGCTCTGCCTCAGCATAGGATGGCGACCCAACAGGAGCAGCCCGCCGGCCGCGGTGCCCACACCAATCCCCAGTAAATGCTTCTCCCTCAGGAACAGGGCACCATCCTAGAACTTCCCCACTTCACCTTTCCCCTCCTCTAGAGCCAGTGTCAAGTCTTTCAAAACGACTTCCATATTTTTACCCCCAAACATCTATACTAATAAAAGGGCAATATGCTAATTAGATCAGATGTCCTTCCAGACAAAACCATGGTGGCGGGGCCAAGGAAGAGGCAGTTAGGGGGATCAGGCCGGCAGGGGAGGGCAGTTAGGGGGATCAGGCTGGCAGGGGAGGGCAGCTAGGGGGATCAGGCTGGCAGGGGAGAGCAGTTAGGGGGATCAGGCTGGCAGGGGAGAGCAGTTAGGGGGATCAGGTCAGTGTGGGATCGGGCTGGCAGGCAGGAGAGTGGTTAGGAGCCAGCAGTCCTGGATTGTGAGAGGGATGTTGGACTGCCGGCAGTCAGACATCCCCCAAGGGGTCCCGTACTAGAGAGGGTGCAGGCCGGGCTGAGGGACACCCCTCCTCCCGTGCATGAATTTCATGCACTGGGCCTCTAGTAATATATAAAAAAGCCCTCCGCTCTAGGACAGCAGACGTGTCTTCTCCATCCAGGCCTGCTGTTGGTGGTTCCAACTTCGTGTCCCGGGGCCTGGTTATTTGTCTGGCTAGCATGTGGCTCAAAAAACCCTTTTTTCCAGAAAAGCTTCTGGCTATGCAAGTTTAGCATTTCTTATGAGACAAAGTCTGGGTCTTACCCCCTCCTCCCTGAATCTATCCAGCCGGCCAGACCCGGGCACTGAAGCTCAGCTCGGAGCAGGCTCTGAGGCCTCGAGTGGAAGCAGGGCCTGGGCTCGGGGCAGCTCTCCAGGTTCCCTGGACAGGGTGAGGAGGGACATCCTGCAACAGGCCCGCCCCTCCTCAAGGGGGAAACGGATGAGGAAGGCTGTGGACATGAACCTGGGCCAGGTGAAGACAGGAAAAGGGCACTTCTATCTCATGCAGCATTTTCCTCCTCAACCTGCAGCTCAGGCGTGAGCAGCTGGGGAGCCGCACTGCAGAGGCTACAAAGTGAGTGAAGTACTTACTGATTTTTTCATATCCCCTAAAAAAGGGTTTCGCTTACCATAAATAAAATAGTAAACAATAATTTGGAGATTTAAAATATCAACACCGGAAAAAGTATGTATTAGATTGGCCTTCAGGACCAGGGAGAATCTAGACAAGGGATCTGCAGGCCCTGAGGCCTAAAGCATGCGAACAGTGGGCTGTGAACTTCGTGAACTTCGGCTGGGGGGCTTGCTGGTGACCACAGACCCGTGCAGAAGGAGCACCCCACAGTGCAAAGCCAGAAGCCTCGGGTCCAACAATAGCATTCCACTTGCCAATCTCTAGCCTCAAGCACTGTTTCTACAAATGCTTCTCCGGGGGAGATGCCCACAACACATGTTTTGGACCCTGAAAAACAGGAAGTAGAGAAATGACTTCTCTACTATGCCATCAGCTTGGTACCGGTTAGCTGAAATCCAGCCTCAGTGTGCTTGGTTCATTTAACAAACATTCATTCATTTAACAAAAACATATCCTATTGATGGAAGAAATAAAACAGATAAATTTGTCATTTCTTTCTCTGGCTGTTAAACTTTAGTGCTTAAGAGAGCCCACCCTACACTTGGGAAATCCCTGCAACTCTTCAACCGCAGAGTCAGCAATGGGCCTCCCTTTTCTACCAGCAAGAAGCTGCTCGTCCCTTCTGCCCCCCACCCATGTGCAAATCCTTCCCTGCATATGATGTTCAGATGCCACTAACCCACTCCTAAAAGTACGGTTTCTCCACCAAAGGGAACTAAAGGAGGCCCTGATTGCCTTAGATTAGGTTTCAATATAGAGGCTCTGAAACCAGCTTCCAGACTCTACATTAACTGTGTCCTCTGGCAAGTGACCTAATATTAGTCTTGATACCTCAGTGTCCCCACCTGTAAAATGGGGGTAATAATAGTCTCTACCTCTAAGGGTTGGTGGAAAGGACATATGAACCGTATATGTATTTTCCTAAGTGCTTAGAACAGCTCCTGGAACATAGTAACAAATAATGCTGAATAAATGAACTTGTACTGAATTTGTCACCACCAGTGTTGTACCAAGTACAATGAATGCAGCCACCTGGGTCTGATTCTTTCCATTTTTATTCTCAAAAAGAGTAACCACTCAAGATTCAGCAGAATGAGGAACATAAATAGTTAAAGCAGAGCCCATAGCTCTGAGTCTTTCAGTTAATCAGCAGCCCATCTGTTTGTTTGCACAGCACGGCTGTAGCAGAGATGGTCCTTATGCTACTGAGTCTAACTGCTGACTGTAACATCCTATAGGTCTATGATGATCTCTATGTTTCTAAGTTAGAACTCCTAAAACATTTCCTTTATTTTCATGTCTAAAAAAGAAAGGAAGTTTATAATTAGAGTGTCCCAAAGTGGCAGCTTTGGAAAATTCTTTCTTTAGAGCTTTCACAACTTGTTTCCCTCCAGGGTTCCACTGAATTGGATCGGGCTGATCTGATTTTAAGAAGACATATAGAGGTCGGCTCGTTAATAAAAAGCTTGGAACCCCATTGTGACAGTATCCAGTCAGACCCAGGAATCCTCTAAGCTGTTTTGTTTTTGGAAGAGGAAAGGAGAGGATCCCTCTGAGTCAGAGTTCATCAGTAGCCCACCTTTTGATAGGAGATGGCCAAGGTATTTTACTTGGGGCAAACAAAATGGAAGCTTGTCCTTTGAGGCCTGCGACTCTTTTATAGCAGTGGTTCTCAAGCTTGGCTGCACATTAGAAACACCTGGGAATCTTTTTAAAATCCTGATTTCTGGGCCTCACCCTCCAGAAATTCTGTTTCTTTGTTATGGGGTGAGGCCACAACATTAGTAACAAAGAAACAGAATTTCTGGAGGGTGAGGCCCAGAAATCAGGATTTTAAGAAGATTCCCAGGTGATTCTAATGTGCAGCCAAGGTTGAGAACCACTGTTTTATAACTAGCTGTTGTGTCCTTTCAAGAGTCTGGTAATATCCTAGAGCAGTGGTTCTCAACCTATGGGTCGCAACCCCTTTGGCGGTCAAAGGACCCTTTCACAGGGGTCGCCTAAGACCATCCTGCATATCAGATATTTACATTATGATTCATAACAGTAGCAACATTACAGTTATGAAGTAGCAACGAAAATAATTTTATGGTTGGGTCACAACATGAGGAACTGTATTTAAAGGGCCAGGAGGTTGAGAACAACTGTCCTAAAGCCTAACAGTGAATCATCCAAGTATTGGATTGCAGTGGAATCTCAGGGAAACTAACAGCATTAAATCAGTTGTTTTTTTTGAGGCCCAGAAATCAGGATTTTATTTATTTAATTTTTTTCTTAAAGTATTACAAAGAGTATTACACATGTCTCCTTTTTCGCCGCCCCCCCCTCCCGCCGACATTCCCCTGGCCTCCCCCACCCCCCAGTGTCTTGTGTCCATTAGTTGTTCTCATATGCATGCATATAAGTCCTTCGGTTGATCTCCTACCCACCCCCAACCCTCCCCAGGCTTCCCACTGTAGTTTGACATTCTGCTTAATGCTGCTCTGCCTCTGTATCCATTTTTGTTCATCAGTCTATAATGGTCCTTATTATCCATAAATGAGTGAGTTCATGTGGTATTTTTCTCAGCTTCCCAGGGACCATCTCAGTCTCACAGGGGCCATCTCAGCCTCACGGGGGCTGTCTCAACCTCACCAGGGCCGTCTCAACCACACTGGTGCCGTCTCAGCCTCACCAGGGCCGATTCAACCTCACTAGAGCCATCTCGACTTCACCAGGGCCTTCTTGACCTCACCGGGGCCGTCTCAACCTCACCGGTGCATTAAATCAGCTTTTAGTGTCTGAGAGAAACAGTTGGGACTCTCTCTATATCCCTGAGGCACTACAGTCCCAGTAAATTAGCGATCTGCCCAGGCAAAGGCAATGAGACGGTAACTGTCTTTTTCTAAAGGAATGCTGAAATGCCATGTCATAAATTTATTACTGAAAAATGTTGGCAGTCCACGGGAATGGCTGGTAACAGGGTAGTATATGGATTTGGAGCCAAAGGATGTCTG